ATTTCCATGCTGGCTGGAGAATTCTGGGAGTTGGAAGTCCACAAGTCTTAAAGTTGTCAAGTTTGGAGACCCCTGCAATAAACCATAGTTCAGCTAAGGCTTTGTCAATCCAGTTTTCTCTAGATATATTTCAGTCCCAAGGTATCTATAGATGCTCTGATTGGGGACAGGTTGGCTTGTCATAATAGGGGATATCAAAAATTTTTTTTTATCACCTTTGGCTTTGTGTCCACTAGTTGTGTAAACGGAAGAAGAATACAATTTTGGGGTTTGCTCACAGTTCATCACAGTCTCCTGCTGAGCAGGCTGGACCTAGTCTAAACTGGGATGATGAATTTCAGGGCTATAGACTTGATGGAATAGTCAGAAAAGATTCTGAAATATGGTTGTGACAAAATGCTTCCATGCTGTGGCCTTGAAACCTGGATGGACATGTCTGGTTATCAGGAGTCAGATATGACTCAGGGGGCATCTTCATCTTTACCTTAAATGTAAGCTGTTGTAAAACTCTCTAAGAAACACCTGGCTACAATTTATCTGAAAAATTGATTAAAGATTCCTAAATACCCTGAACAGCATAATCCTGTTGCCAAATAATTTCTAATTATTTATCTGATTGATAGTCATCCTTTTTATTGGTGTTGAATACTTAAGGCAACTCACAACATGCAAAATATAGATGCAAAATAAAAAATTAAATGCAATGATAAACTAGTGACAATTAACCATAAAACTAGTTTAGTCTAGTTTAGAGACTTAGAGAAGGACGAGGGGTGACATGATAGCAGTGTTCCAATATCTCAGGGGCTGCCACAAAGAAGAGGGAGTCAAGCTATTTTCCAAAGCACCTGAAGGCAGGACAAGAAGCAATGGATGGAAACTAACCAAAGAGAGAAGCAACCTAGAACTAAGGAGAAACTTCCTGACAGTGAGAACAATTAACCAGTGGAACAACCTCCCTCCAGAAGCTGTGAATGCTCCAACATTGGAAGTCTTTAAGAAGAGATTGGAAAGACATTTGTCTGAAATGATATAGGGTTTCCTGCCTGAGCAGGGGGTTGGACTAGATGACCTGCAAGGTCCCTTCCAACATCATCATCATCATCATTATTCATTAGACCTCAGTCAACTGAACATTCAAATTGACTGGCGCTGATGGTTGACACAGGTTCCTGCCAGCATCCTAGGTATCAACCAGATACCTCTTTAAAATGTAAGATGTTCCGAGTAGCAAAGTTTTTTGTAGCATTGCTGGAGTTATTGCAGGAAGCTGCAGTTTTTTGAAATAATAATATTACTACTACTACTACTACTACTACTACTACTACTACTACTACTACTTCGATGGAAGAAATAGACAAGTAGGTGGGGTCAAATGCAACTCTATGAAGAACACATGCTATAGTTTGAGAGCCATGCAGAAGAAGACCCGTTCTGATACGTCCAATAGACAGGCCCCAATTAGAAGGCTCCTCTTAACATCTGAATGCCTTTATGTATTTATTTATTTAATATATCCCATCTTTACTTTTTACAACGCAAGGCAACGTACCTAATGCTCCCTTTTCCTGTTTTCCCCCCACAACAATCCTCTGAGGTGAGTTGGGCTGAGAGAGAGTTACTGGTTCATAATCACCCAGCTTTGCCTGAGGGAGTTTCCCACTTTCTAATCCAGCACCTTAACCACTACATCAGATTGTCTCAATATCACAAGAGTTGGGCTTTCAGATAGATAGGTCCTAACCCCAGGTAAGGTTTAAAAAAGTAAATGCTAGAAACTCAAAATGTGTCTGAGAAATCACTGGCTCAGAACCATCTGTGTTCTTTCCATTAAATCTCTTTGCTCCAAGTAGGATCTGCCCAACCAATAAGTGATTAGCCCAAGAAAGCATGCTGGCAAGTCCTCTCCACACCTCTGCCCCAAGGAAGTAAAGAAGCTTGGAGGATGTCTTGACAGTGTTGGTGCCTCACTGAAGAGCAAGGGGCCTGTAGGTCTGGATGGCCCTTAGCCTGTTCTGATTTTTAAAATTAGCAAACCTCATGCTTTTCTGCAGGGCTTTCCGAGGGCTTAACACTATATAAGGCAGCCAGCATTTTAGTGGAAAGTTTTTGGCCCTGCCAATATATACAGCATTGTGGACTGGTTTTGATAATTTTATTGTTTTAGAACTGTAAGGTACCTAGAATTAATTGTGTGGGAGACACATTCTCACTCTTTATTTTGGTTCAATTATTTATGACTTTATTAATTTTCTTCATTCCTTTTGATAGTTTACAACTTGGTTTGATATCTCTACATTTAAACCAGAATCTTATTGATGGTCTCTATCCAGTGTGGCTTTAGCCAGTTTCATTTTCTAGCACCTCCAGCCATTCTTAACATAATTAATTTTTTCTAAGGAATTTGAATAAATTGTATGATCAAAATAATAGGGTCTGAGCTTGGTAAACTTAGTTTCCAATGGTATTTATTTCTTGATGCTCTTCTCTCCCTCTCCCTCTCTCTCTCTCCCCCCTTTGCTGTCTAAGCTCTGCTCAGTAGCAATCTCCACATCCATAATTTGAAGGAATTTAATTTCTATCTGTTTTTATCCAGTTTTCACAACTAGGTAGTTACAGAAAAAACAATAGCATTTATTATTTTGCACTTGGTATTAAGACTGATATTCTTGCGTTTCCAGATCTCCATGCTGGCCACCACAGTGCGCTCAAGTGATACAGTATTCTGAAAAATCATATAAATCACTGTAAATAAATACATGAAGTCTTTTTTTTAATGTGGATCACCAGCAGTGCAGAAGGGATAATATCTTCACTGTTGCATTTTACACTGAATGGCACTTCTGGATACCTCTCAAGATTATACTCACATGACAGCATCTGACAATAGTCAAGGCAATCATGACTATTTTCCCCCCAACAAAAATACCTTTTATGTTTGAAAAACATATTGCTACTTTTTCTTATCTCAGTGAATGCATGAAGAAATGTTCTCCACACATAGCAGCCCTACCTCCACGTTTTCTGTGCGCCCAATTCGTAAGCATGTCCCAGCTCACTGACCACCTAATTTTTCACGTTATTTGGCAAAAAATTCCCTGTTCTGGGATTTGGGCATATTCATCTTATTCATTTTCTGTTTAAGCTAACCACAATCCAATTCCTGTAGGGTTTGTCACCTATCTCTTTATCATCTCCCCTGCTCTCTGCTGGATCCTTACCAGCATATGAGAAGGATTTATACTGACGTCAGCACACAAGCAGACTGCATTTTTTCCCATGTTAGGAGTATCATCACTCATTCAGCCACCACTGGATAATAAGAAAACAACTTTAGAATTGGGAGAGCAAAATAAACCTTAAAGTTATTAGATGCAATGCAAAGCTAACATTTTGGATCGTTAATCAGAAAAATGCTACCAGGCTGTACTTTTGTTGTTCACTCTTCAGGGTTTATACAACACCTAAACATTATGTAGTGTAGGAACACTGGTGTGATTATTTAGGATTATCAAATGAAGTCAAAGGATTGAGTTTCTAACATGTACAATTCATATATTTTTAAAAATCATAACATTTTCATTTTAATAGGATATTTATTTTTGGTCCTTTACTGTATTATAATACATTATGTATTATAATACATTATTAATGCCTGAAGTATATATTTGTTATAATAAGTAACTGGCTTATTAGAAAAAGGGTTAAGTAGGGGAGGAGATCACCTGCCCTCTGGAACATCTTGAGATTGGCCCCAATCCTCCTATCCTTTCATAAGGGCCTAAAGCAGGGGTGTCAAACTCAATTTCACTGAGGGCCGCATCAGCATTGCGGTTGCTCTTGGGGGGCTGGGTGGGTGTGGCCAGAGTGGGTGCAGCCTACTGGGTGGGCGTGGGCGGTTCTACATCATTCGCGTCAAGGATGCCTGTGGGGGCCTGGGCAGGGGTGGGACAGATCTGAGGGTCTCTGGGAGAAGGGGGTGGGACCGGGGCAAGTGCCAAGGTATGGTTCACCGGGGCAAGTGCCAAGATGGCCACCACAAAATTGTACATTGGCTCCCGGCTGGCCTGGGCTAGGGCCAAGGCAGCGGGGGCCGTTCCCTCACTGTTTCCAGGATGGCTTCGCGGGCCACATGAAACCACTTCGTGGGCCGCATCCGGCCCCCGGGCCCTGTGTTTGACATGTCTCGCCTAAAGACCTCACTATATATACAATTGTAAGTCACACAGAATTAATTTGTAGTAAGATGGGCAGCCAGTAATTTTTATAAATAAATAAAATAAATAAATAAATCATGGGAAACCCCAGGTGTTTGCTAGGAAAAAAAAAGACCAGGAAAAGGCAGTGTCCAAATCACTTGTGTGTTGCTACCAGGAAAACTACAAAACTGCACTGACAGCACCTGGAGTCAAGCTTGATTTGAGGGAGCTTTTGCATTTCAAACTATATTTACTGAATGTTGATGCTAGGAAAAATAATCCTGTTTTATGGCTATTTAAAACTAAGCTTGGAAGATACATTTTGACCAGTTGCCACTGTGAAAAACAAATGGCTGCTATGTATGGACAACAATTTCCCAATTTATAACTGCAACACAGGAAAGCAAATATTCCATTTGATCCAATCATTGGCGTTTTCTTGTAGTCTCATAATCCTGCGTGTTGGAAAATGAGTATTTTATGGCTGGCCATACTCCACCATTCTTGTCCCGTTGGGAAGACACAACTTCTTAGGGCACTACTATCCAAGTTTTAAACGTGCGAATGAGAAAAATGGGAAGTTTGAGACCTCTGTTTTGCAGTATTTAGTACAGAAATGTTTGTTTGTTGAATTTATTTGCCACCCATCTTGTTTCAAATGACTCAGGGTGGCTTACAACATATAATACATCTCTTTCTTTAGCCATATATACAAATTTATATCATCTACTAATTATTGTTCATTAGGGGAAATTAACAGAGTGGATTATATTTGTGATTCAAGTTCTTTTTCTCTTGCAGCAAACTTCCAAGCTGGGCAAGAGCTGTTGTCCCCAAAATATTTTATGTCACAGAGAAGGCATGGAATTACTACCCATATACAATTACAGGTATGTTTTATGGGGTTGTGATGGTAAAGAAAGTTGATGTTTTAATGATTTCAGTTGTTACATGATTCTGCTATTCTATCTTGGATTAAAACTGTTATTATCATTTGATATTTACAGACTAAATGCTCCATCCAATGTATATTCATCTTTAGTGGGTATATATATATATATATATTGTTTGTTTGGATTTAGAATTGCAAGCAGTTAAGTCAGAGGGAAATGATTGGAGGTTGGTGCTAAGCAAAATAATCACCGTGACTTTTTATAATGGCAGTGACAGTTGATATAAAACACTGCTGAATTAATTAATCTCCTTAGTGAAATGGGAAATCATGGATTCTTATTTAGACCAATTAATATAAATAATGGAACTTCAGCTGAAGTTTTCCCTTGGAATTTCTTTGTTCAAGAACAACCATAGGAAGGATAGTACAGATAGTCCTCGACTTACAATCACAGCTGAGCCCAAAATTTCTGTTGCTAAGTGAAACATTTGTTAAGTGAATTTCCCATTTTATGACCGTTCTTGCCACAGATGTTAAGTGAATCACTGCAGTTGTTAAGTTAACAACACGGTTGTTAAGTGAATCTGGCTTCCCCATTTCTTGTAAGATCACAAAAGGTGATCACATGACACCAGGACACTGCAAGTGTTGTAAATATGAATCAGTTGCCAAGCATCCAAATTTTGATCACATGACCATGGGGATGCTACAGCGGTCATAAATGCGAAAAATGGTCATAACTCACTTTTTTCAGTGCCATTGTAACTTTGAACAGTCACTAAATGAACTGTTATAAGGCGAGGACTACCTGTAGCAAGTCAGTTGAATCCTGACTGACTCCAGCTGGTTTCTGAAGATTGAATTTCTAACGTCTGATTTGCATCACTTGATTATTTTCCATGTCCTGTGCAAATATAAAAAGATACGAAAATGTAAAAGAGGGGTATTTTTTTAGAGTGGAAGTTTTGGATTATGGATGTGAATAGAATCCTATTCTATTCTATTTTCCTCACCAAAACTACCTGCTTTCCTATCAGTTCTTAACTTCTCCCCCTCCTCCCAATATTAGAAAACTGCATTTGGGCCCATCACTGGACAGCTTCATGGGTAGCTGAATTTTGGACTTCACTCCTGTTTTGGCTTAAGAAACTGTAGCAGGGAGCAGTGGGCCCTTTAAATAGCAAATAGGCAGCCTCCTGTGCCCAGTAGTAAATCACCTGATCCCTGAGACCCCATAGAAACAAAGAAGATTTGAGATTTTTGGAGATGGCTAGATAAGGAGGGATTACCTCAGGCAAGGCTGAGCTGTTTTATTATAAGCTACAGGTGATCTTTGACTTAAAACCATCTGTTTGGTGGCTGTTCAAAGTTACGGTGGCACTCAGAAAAGTGGCCTACAACCATTCCTCACACTTATAACCATTACAGTATCCCCACAATCATGTGATCAAAATTTCAGCGCTTGGCAACCAGCATGTATTTATGACAATTGCAGCATCCTGGAGCCACGTGATCGCCATTTGTGACCTTCCCGACTGGCTTGTGAGAAGTAATTAATGGGGGAAGCTGAATTCGCTTAATGACCACATGAGTCACAAAACTGTAGCGATTTGTTTAATGACCATGGCAAAAAAGGTAAAATTGGGCATGATTCACTTAATAACTGCCTTGCTTAGCAATTGAAATTCTGATGTGATCATAACTCGAGGATTACCTGAGTTTGTTTGTATTTATCTCTCTCTTTTTTTACCATATATTCAGTGTGAGGAATCTTATCTTCCCTCGCTTTTAATAAAATTACTTCTTTTTTTAAAAAAAATTCTGGAGTTGACAGGCTGCTTTCGAGCTCACCCCTCAGCTGCAGTTTCCCTAAATTTTGTTTGGTTTCTCCCTCTGGAGTTTAGGCAAACCCAGGTTGGGGTGAGGATTTCCCATTCTGATCATGTGACCATGTGAATGCTGCAACATTTGTCAGTGTAAGGATTGGTCATAAGTTACATTTTTTCCAGTACCATTGTGCCTTTGAACAGAGGCTAAGCTGCAAATTGAGGATTTACAGTTAGTTGAAGAAGGCTGGCTTATTCTTGAATACATTTCACAGCCTTAAAAGTGCCACACAAAACTGCTATTTTTTATAACACAAATTCATAGGTAGTCCTTGGGACATTTTTGTTATTTTATACGTTGCTCATTTCCCCTTAATTTTTATAAGTTAAAATTTTATAAATTACAGATTACAAAACCTCCTAATCCCCATAAAAATAATGAATATTTTCATTTCTTGGTCTAATCTTTGCTAGATACGTACTACCCAACTCTTTTCACTGCAGCTTAAGTGCTGCGCTACATAAAATTGTGAAGTAGGTTTGATGATATATTCACCTGGTTGCTGTAACTGATTTCTCTCATAGTTAACCTAATAGCTGTATTGCACCAGGGATATTATTTAGTAGGGGTTACAAGGATCAGGCACTACTTCGTTCAGTTCATCCAAGGACAAGTTGCCATTCTTCATAATTAGAACTTTTGCTAACTGGAGAGGCAAGCTGAACACGAATTAGTCATACAGCTACAAATTATTGTTTGTGGTATCAAGGCTGAGTTTGGTCTCCCTGCATGCCTATCTGAAAATTGCTTTACATGTCCAGGGCATACCCACTGTTTTTGCAGGAAAAAAAACCTGTTCTCACTTCTGCCATCTGAGGTAAAATGTCAAGGGCATATTTCTCCTGGCACCGCAGAGTTTTTTTGGCGCCAGAAGAGAGCAAACATGCTCTAACTTTGAGCTAACAGAGAATTGGAGAATTGTGCTACTTGAGGGGAAGCCAGAGTTGTGAGATGTGTACATTCCCGAAAAGCCACAATGAAGCTCTGACTACTCTCCGGGGACAGAAATGATCTCCTTGGGTTCCGTTGTTCCCACCAACTACTCCCTTTAGATTGTTGTGTGGAACTATCCTTGGGGTCCGTCTCATAAGAATTTCCAACTGCACCAGTACCATCTCCATGAGTCCCTTCACTGGAAAAAGGGAAGGTAGCCTAGTGGTAGAGCACACACTGACTTCTCCAGTTTACAAATTAAAAATGGAGAAGGTATCATGGAAGTCTTTTGCCTCAGAGTGGACCCTTGGAGAGCAGTTGTCAATCAGAGGAAAAAATACTGCAGAGGGAACAAAATAATAATAATAATCATCATCATCATCTTTGGACAGATAAATTTCAAGGGACTTTTGCTAAGTCCCATGAATTTAGTTTTCTTATGTGGTGCCATTTTAGTCTTCATGTCCAGTTCCTCACCCCAACCTGTCATATCTACTTTCCTAAAAGAAGGCAACTGTTCTCACAGATAAACAGGATTAACAAAAATATAACCTTCTGTTAAGTATTTTGTAGTTGTTTGAGGCAAACTTGTTATGTTCTCCATGCTTATTTATGATAGGAACCTTAATCTTGCCCTCCAAGGTGAGTGCTATAAAAATATCAATTAATATATACAATACACACATAACAATTCTGTAACTTTAACATGTCATTAAGAATAGGGGAGCTGAGAAGCACAATTATGCAAGAATGACACCCATCAAATTCAGTTCACAACTTCCAACAATTTCTCTGCCCATTCATTTTTGAACAATTACAAATAGTGCCCCTTTGAATTGTGTTCCAGCCCATATGATTCTTAGGGTTTTGTATCATGCATCAAAATTAGCAATGCATTTTGCATTTTAATTAAAGTAATGTGAACAATGAAATAATTTTATGCCATTCTTTTTCTTTTTCTTTTATTCCTATCGGCTGAATGTGGATCAGAATACACGGTAAGTTCTGATTCCTCTTTGTCATGTTAAATAGTATTTAAAAGCTATGATTAGAACAAAACAATAGATTCTTGGCTTTTTAAAAGAATAAAAATACTGATATTCAACAGCAGATTGCTCCTTCTTTTATATAGCTGAAGAAGAATAGTGCTTCTAATATTATCAGATGTCACTGATGTAAAAAATGTAATAATTTCAAAGCTTGATATATTTTGTTACCCAGTAGCTGTAATAATAATAAAAAAAATCTTTCTCTCTTTATATAAAAAAGAGACATACAGGCTTTAATATGCTGGTTATTGCTAGTAATAGAGAGACAGTTTTTCATTTTATCTTTCATTAACTTATAAAACAACCATCTGTCTTGATACAGTACCTGGAAAATGCTGCAATCTCCAGACGGAATTAAACAATTCTGGGCTCAGTGCCCAGAAAACATAAGAACTGAACTAGGCAGTATAAGACAGAAGAGACACAGGGCATACTTAAAAATACATTGCTCTGAGCAAAATCAATTTCTGTTCCGTTGTCTTCCATGAAACAAATCTTGTAGAAATTTATTTCCATAGCAAGCACACCCTTCCCTATAACAGTTTGATCAACATTCTTAAAAAAAAATCCATAGCTAGATTAAGTAAAAAGATGGGAAAATTGGCCTTCACAAATTCAAAAGGTGGAGATGTCCTTAAGTCAAGCTTCTCGTGCTGACTACTTGCATCTGTTTATTATCACCAAGCGCACTTAGACATAATTCAGAAGAAGTCCTTCAAGCAACATCTTTTACTCAAGCGTATGCCAAATAGAAGCACTTCTGAACTATTTTGAAGCGTACACAGTCATAAGGTCCAAGGAGCTTTCTTGGTAGCAGTATGGCAGCTATTTGCTAATACTGTCTTCTAGGATTTTATTTTTTTACATCCCAGTCTAGCCTATAGTCTTTGGGAGTCTTCCATCCAAGGACTAGCCAACCCCAATGGCAAGCTTTGTGCCTAGACAAGGTTGGGTCAGGTGCTTCCACAGGTTAGGAAGTTTGCTAATTAACATGGCTAAACATGAAGTTTTAATAAAATGTCATCCAAAAATGAGCCCAGTCATTGTAGGGTTAGAGATTTGTGGTGCAAAAAAACTTAAGGACCACTCTTTGCTCTCAAATTGCCCAGATTTACTCAGCTCAGTTCTGGTAAATCCTGGTAGTCCTAGAATAGCCTAGAATAGGGGTATAACATTTGTTTTTGCTTAGAGTCTCCAAGAGAGCTTACATGAGAGTTTAATCTCATCTTTGATATATTTAGTTTATTAGTGATTCCCTTGATGCATTCCCAGGACAACTAATGCTATTTTCTGTCCTTGTGGATGTTTCCTCTTCTGGAAATGATCTGTGATGTTAGTTCTGGACAATAGTGGTTTAAAGCATATTATGGATGAGATAATTACAAAGTATATTATTGTGAGAATCATCAAGGCTTTCACTATTGAAAACAGGAGGCTCTATGTGTTTTAAAATATTCTTCGATGGGAAGGGGGGCGGGAAGAAACAAGTAGATATAAAGCGCCAGTGGATGAAAAATATCAGAAAAAGTTGATTTCGTCCATTAAAAATAGCCATTATCTCTCTAGTCTATGGAAAGAGGGAACTGCGCTATCAACAGATATTTTCCCATTCCTCTTGCAAACAGATAAACCCTCAGTGTATGTGGTCCTGTTCTCTGAAGTACAGCTTCTCCTGAGCAAATGCAGAATGGTAGAAAAGCAGATTCATGTGCAGGAGCTGTAACTAAGACAGCTATATCCATGCTTGCGTTATGCAAAAAACAGAAATTCTACTGCATTCATTTTCTCATGCCTAGTGAACATAGTTGCAGTTTGAATGGAAAATGCTGCATGGACCAAATGGCCACCTATGTAGATCCTACCTTCTTTAAAAACCAACTATAAAACTGATGTGTGGCCCTGGATTTTCAGCTGTGGAATCATTGCTTTCATTCATCTCAGCTAAAGCACAAATTGTGTCTGTTTTCGTTAAAGGTGGATCTACAGTAGTTATCATCCTGTACATTATAGTGGATTATACTAAGGCTTTTTAACTGGGCATGCTCTTGATGAATATCTGGTATGCTGGTGAAGAAGGCTGCTGCAAGACTTTTGACCAGAGCTAGCTGTCAAGGTTCCGATAGATGAGATCAAACAAATCAGAACTCCGAGGCTGGAGGTTTCCTCAAAGAACATGTTTATTGGCTACATAGTATAGGCACAGGTCAAAAGTGAAACCAAGTCTGAAATCCCCTTCAAAGGGAAACACTATTACAATGTTAAACTTCCCACCCCATTGCTATGCAAGCATCTACATTTCCCAATAAAATAGTTTGGCAGGCTTTCTAACCAAATGCTCATGCCCCCCCACCTAACTGACAGAAATGACCTTGGTTCCCATGGGACAGTGAAATGTTTAGACTAGCAGAAATCCTCCATACCCCCTCAAAGTTTTGTGGCAACCTAGAACAAGCAAGATGGCTGCAGCCAGGTTTGTTATAGAGTTGACACTAGCTATCAAAAACTCTGACTCTTGTAAATCTGCCCTCTGGTCTTAAGAATATTTCTCATATGGATCCACAAGATCAATTTTATTCCTGTTCAGGGTGTCTGTATGAAGCTGGTGGGCAAGCACGTGTACAAATATGTAACTGAATAATCAGTGAAGTAGTTATTTTTAAAGGTTGTTTAAACTAGGCCATTAGTTGACAACACAAAAGCTAATAAAAAATAAGAGACATCAAACACATATTGAACAGGTTATCCCAGACCTAGTACTTCAAATGCACATTGAAGGCTGCCTTAATCTTAACAGTTGTTCTCCTGAACCATCACTAAAATCAGCTGAGACGGTCTGTTTAAGAGCATCTTCTACATACATTCCATACCTAATTTCAAATGTATCAGGAAGGTTTACAGAGGAAAACTGGTCTGGAATATCATGTCATGAGATGATACAGATAATAGCCTATGCATTCAGCAAAATTATCTGCTGCTTGTAGCTAAGAGTTGTTGACAGCAAAGTTTTCTGTTTTCTGTTAAACAACAAAAAGTAAAGTTAGTATTTAAAACTTAAGTCTGATGCATAATTTAATTCTAATTGGAAACTATTCTGGAACTACAATTTTATATGTGGAATTTGCCATATTTAAAATTTGGGTTTAAAATCATATTCTAACTCGATGTATAATTTATATTATTGATGAAATGCATGATTTATTACTATAGTTTTCTTTCAATGGTTTGAACAATGTGAACTAAACATTTTTTAGCTTAAAGGCTAATGGGCTTGTGGATTTTGACCAGAAAAATTGATATAAAATATACTAGTATAAGTTTCTAATGATTATTAAAATATATTAGCTCAATAAAACTTAACATTTGCTGTTTATCTACCCTTAATGGGCAGATAATATTTCTCAACCTCTAGCTCATTTTCTTATTTGTACTATCTATTTCTTGTACTTTTTCAAAATATAGACTTACGATCACAGTTGGGATCAGAACTTTTGTTACTAAGCAAGGCAGTTGTTAAATGAATCATCCTGATGTTATAACCTTTTTGCCAGAAGTGAATCACTGGGGTCATTAAATGAATCACACAGATGTTAAGCAAATCCAGTTCCCTTCATTGACTTTGCTTATTGGAAGTTGGCTGGGAAAGTCACAAATGGAAATGTTGCAGCCATCATAAATACGTGCTGGTTGCCAAGCACCCAAATTCTGACCATGTAACATGAGGATGCTGCGATGGTCATAAGCTTGAGGACTGGTCATAAGTCATTTGTTTAGCACTGTTATAACTTTGAATGGTTGTTAAACAACCATGGAGGGAAGAGAAAGGAGTATCTTTTGAAAAATAAGATTGAAAATGTCCTGAAATCCTATGAACTTATGAACTCTCTTATTCTGAGTCAGACTCTCAAGCTATCTAGATCCAATTAATAATGTGTTATTCTTTCCCTAATCTTACAATCCAAAGCTATTAACTGAAAATACAAAGAATTATGCAAATTATGTATGCCTTTGCTCCAGCAACTTTTTCTAACTCTTATTTGGTTTTGATCCTTTGCTGTTCGATATATTTGTTCTTCCTATCATTTTGAAAGAAGTGGGATGTTGAACCATACTGTCAATTTAGATGTTTCAACTTCATAGTGAAGGAGACTGATCTGTTATCTTTCACATTTATATTAACCATTACTCAAGGATGCTTGGAAGTTAGAATATATCATATGCACGATAAGTAGCTTTCAATCACCACGAATCATTGTTATGGTAATGAAAGAATTTAATCAGCTACTTTAGAACTGTAATTTGACAATTTCAGTTGAACTGTGAACCTCTATTGTAAAAACTGTAACTTCAAAATGTGTGTTTATTTCAACAGTATGATTACACTTACTAGTTACATTATTGATGGCTTCTTGCATTTAAATTGGTGCATAAACTAATTGGAGAGAAAATTGATAAATTGTCTTGGAATGTCAGAACTTCATGGCAAAAGTACTTTTTATTATAATCTGGCTGGATTCAAAATCACAGTGTTTCAGAACTTTCACACTTTCTGAAATATTGTGTCTATGAAATAAGAGTTTTGATCTAAAATATAAAGATTTGTGGTGTGAAATCTATAGATTTCCAAAGTAAGTCGGAAATATGTCTATTACTTTTTAAAGAGTTGGGAGAAAACGGAGACATATATACAAAGACAGATCACACAGCTTCTCTGTTTCTCCCTCCCACCCTCAGGAAATCATGTGCATTTTCTTGCTGTCCTAAAGGGTAAGGCTTACTCATTTCCTGCTCTTGTATTAAGAAGAAAACCCTCAGTTACCCTATTACTTTTCTTAGAAATAGCATAATAATAAACCGTTTTTATGCCACAATGGGTCAGTTAAAATGCTAAAACATCAGCATTTTAATGATTTATGTACATATTCTTTACTGCCAGAAATAATGAAAGTAAC